GGAGAGCGATTCTCTTCGAAACTACATATTCGAAGATAGTTAGAGTCACTGGGAAGCTTGAGCGTTACATTTCTCCGCCAAAAGCTCTCATTTAGACGAGAAAATTCATACGAGCGATTTTTTGAAGAAATGAAATTGAGATCAGGTTCAGTGCTTTTTTGAAGAGAGAAAGGTTCAAAACCTTCATTACCAACCGATACGGCTCCAAGATTCGTAATCGTGTCCGATGCAGTTTGTAGACGGTGTTGATCAGATTGTCCCTACTCGACCCTGCAAACGAAAGAATTGTAGTTAACGACGACCCATTCTTGAAATCTGATGCTACGATTAGGTGCACGTCATCAAACACAGGTAAAGCAGGTGAGCGGTCACAGTGGTGGTCGGCTGATTTGAAAGGTGCCGCACTGTTGAGACCATTGTTCAGCTTCTCCCTGCTATGGAGAGCTTCCAGAGCTATATTATCAGTGATGAGCAGAAGCACTCAAAAATGGTCCAAGTAATTAGCTCGTACACTGGGCAATTATACCAAGAAGTGGCGAGAACCTCACAAATGTGCCAAGCGCACGTTCATTGACGAACGGACTACGCAAAGTCAGGAAAGGCCCTCATAGGTCTTTTTGAGCGATAGTTCGACGCTGCCGTAACCACTCGCTTGCCTGTACCATCAATCAAAAATAAATACATAGAAGACAAACATACGCCCAGGTGTTGTGAACTGTGGGCAGTCCGAGGAGCCCTCTTTGGCCATAGAAAGAAGTATGTTGAACATCACGTCCTGAAAAAATCGACTGAATTTGAACTCGACGTCAATAGACGACACGAGAAGGAACTACACAGTAATATGTGATTGTTTCGAAAGAAACGCTTGTAGGATGAATTACACCAATACAATTTTCAAAGGATTTACAATGAAAATTCAGCTCATTGGAAATAAGGGTAGAGGTGGTCAGTGGAGCAGGGATGAAGAAGAAACCATTTGAAACGGCCCGAACCCGAGAAATGGGACCCCTTCCTTGCCCGTTGATTTGCGCATTGATGCGACTCTCATCGCTGTGCCCTCTTCAACACTACGCTCTCTCTGCTATCTAATCACTCGCCACGTATAGACCTGCGGCGAGTGATTAGATAGTCGGTGGGCGTACCCCGCCAACCGCGCCAAGAGTGAGCCATGCTAGATCGCCGAGGTCAAATCTTTCGCTGCCAATTGCGCGTCGGTCAGCACCCTCAGGAGGTCCGCCTGTCTCCCAACTATGCAATTCTCCCTTCTTTGACCTTCGTTCTTATCGTGAATTCCTCCTTTAATGTGACGGCTCAGTGGAGTACTTGGTCAAGAGGTTATTAATTGTTGTCACAAATAAGAAGCGAAATTATACTAGCCTTCTCTGAGAAGGCCAATACTCGCACTCTGCGGCACAAGTGTGGCGGTGAAGGTGGACATGTTGAAATAAGGGGAGGATCTGCGCATGCTTTT